GGCCCTCCTGGGATCCCTGGTACTTCAGTGGCAGTGGGCCTTGATGGTCCAATAGCTGTTGGACCTCCTGGACCACCTGGGCAAGATGGTGCTCCGGGATTGCCAGTGAGTATTTTACTTTGATTACTTACCATTTTACTTCCTTACCACCCAATGCCTTCATTGTTCTGCTTTTAAATGTTGTTGATGTTTATTTGAGGTGTAGTAAATACTGACTCTGTTTTGTGTTTGGTGCTGTAGGGACCCCCTGGTCCTCCTGGTCTACCCGGTCCACCTGGACCTGCAGGAGGAAAGGTAAAAATAGACTCAGTCTAAAGTTTTAGACTGTTATAAACCTGTGGGGCTGTACTATGGTACATGCTAACAAGAGACAATGTACTCACTAAAAGACTTAATCGTTTATTAATAAAATCTGAATGAGAAATTCATTAGTTTTATTTAGTGATTAACCAAAATATTTTAATTTTTTTAATTTTGACCACAAAACGGCTAAAAAAAATTCAAGAAGGATTTAAAAGAATACAGCCTACAAACCTGGACTAAATGTAACGATTCAATAGACATTTCTTGTAAATGTATTGACTAACATATATTTTGTTTTAAATCTTCTTTCCCCAGGGTGACAGTGGTGACCTCGGTCTTCCAGGAGCAGCTGGAGAAAAGGTGAGCTTCATTTTTTAATTTCAGCCCTTAAAACTCTCATCATTGAAAGCAGAAAGATGTTCCCCACTGAACTGATATGAAAATGTTGTACTTGGTGGCCCATCCATGAACTCTTCACATTCTTTGTTGCTTTCCTTTAGCAAGATGCACAAGGCTCCAGCTTTTTCACCGGCTTGTTCTCTTACTTTACTCCATCCTCTACGGTGTGTAATGGGTTGGTGGTCCTGGGACATGTCTCTGCTGTGATGATTTATTTTATTTTCTTGAGTTTTCTGCATTATTTACTCTTTATTATTATTATTATTATTATTATTATTATTATTATTATTATTATATTACTATTATTTTCTGTTTTCACAGAATCTTTCGAGACATTGTAGCTGTGAAAGATTCTGTTTCCATAAAAGACCTTTCTTCACTCATTTAAGGACCTACTCTGCGTTTCCTTAGTTTCTGTCATGCATATACAAAGCAAGGTGTTCATATTAAAAATGACCAAAGTTTTAATAAATCAGGCTTCACACTGTTCAGAATTTTAGATACTTTCACCAAAAATGGTTTCTTTAAATAGTTACTTGGTACAGGGACCTATGAAGAACAGGCCGTACAGCTCACAAGCACTGGTGCCTTGCCCCTCAGCAAGCTTCCAGAAGCTGGCTAATCATATGACAGTGTCCTGTTAGAAAGAGACATGCACTAACACGACTTGCTTCAGACATACATTAGGGCGATGATAAAGAGGCATGTTTGTCCATTGTTGAATTATACAATCAGCTCTACAATCCAAAAATAAATACAGGCACATTAATGAGCATAGTAGGTCCCCAAACCTTAACTGTAACCTTCATCCGCATCTCCACTTAACCTCCAGCTCTGCACGTGCCTGTGTCATGCCACCGTTTGCTCTTTCTGTCCTACTTTTCTTCTCCTCTTTATACAGTGTTGAACACAATCTGACATTACAACTAACCTCTGCCACCTAAGGGCTCTCAGGGTGAACCAGGACAGGTGGGGACATCAGGACAGACTGGCCTGGCAGGGCTTCCAGGTCCAATGGGACCAGTGGGACCACCAGGGCCCCCCGGACCACCTGGGCCACCGTATCGCATTGGCTATGTGAGTAGATTTCTTTTCTCATTTTTTTTTTTGTTTTCTTTTGTTTTTTGTGGACAGATGAGAGCAAGTACCAAGCTAAAAAAAGTTGTTACTTTGAGGATGCCGGTAGCAACCATTGATATCTACTCTGAAATGTCAACCAGTCCAAACAGTCTGAGTGGATGAGAAGCTAGCAGTGATCAGTTGTTTTGACTTCAAATTCTCTCCATACAGGGTGATCAAGATGGATATGAGGTACTCAGTGGTTTGCCTGGACTCAGAGGCGAACCTGGACCCCAGGTAACGAGTTACAAATATGGGAGATTCTTGTTCCTTTGCTCACAGTGCTGGAAATATTTGTATATCTCATGCTGTCCTGTGTCATATTTTTCCAGGGCCCACCTGGTGTTGCAGGTTATCCTGTAAGTATGCCAGAGAAACTGTATGGCTTGAATAAGTTATCTCTTTATGTCCATGATACCGTAAATTAAAAC